TATTTCACACCGTGGATGCCCTTCCAGCTACAACCCAGCACTGAGACTCGTACTCTCTGAGCTGCGACACACTTAACACACTCTCCCATTCCCACCCTATGTCCAATTTTAGTTCATCCAAACAATTTACTTGTCCACGTGCACCCAATGGAAATTGTGTATCTCGAGCTTACTCACGCCCAGCTCCCAAACGATCGTATCTTTGTGTAGGCCAAAGTAATTGACCATCTCTCGTACTGTACCATCACATGGGCTTCGGAATCATGGAAGAGCACCAGTTCAAGTTGTTGCAGTCCTCAATGTCCATCCCTGAGGTGGTTACACAGCTTGTTTTGCCAGTTGATTCTGGTCACCTGCACCGCCGGACATTGACTGAGCATGTGGGGACAGATTCCATCCTTCATGAGCAACGCCGGCAGGCTGCAACTGTTTTGCTTTTGCCCCTACATTGGAACACAAGGGTAGGGTAAACGCCCTTGCATAGATGTAGCCCAGTGATGTAGTGCCTTGAACCCTGCTGGCATCTTGAGCCAATCGCTGGGCACCTTGACTCTTAGGGCTCTCACAAGCGGATCTGAAGAGTTAGCTAGGCGGAAGATTCATCTTACCTGGAATGATGGGATGTGCCATGTGAGCTAAGAGATACAGAGACCGCCATTGCGGTTTCTGGCGTACAGCAGCCAATTCCAAGTCACCAGCCAGGCTCCGGAGTACGTCACCGGCTTCGCAGTGATAAACCAAGTAGAAGAGCCACGGGATGAAAAATTGCTTCAGGATTGAGACCTTTTGTGAAGGTTTGAGTAGCACCTTTCCAATGCACCCGCACCATTTCCTCAGAGACACTGCCAGGTCTGACATCCGTATGATCTGTATGCCATGGCCAATTAAGTTGTTGCAAAAAAACGTAAAGCATTGCACATTTGTAGACTCGAGGAGCGCGAGCGCAGTTTCAAGTTGAATATCAAGTCTGGTATGCGCAGTATTTTCTTTATTACTATATACTACTATAGTATTATCCCTATTTTTTGAAGCGAAGGTGAGCCTAAATGTCAACATCATCCTACATATTCAAAGAATGATCTCTAAAATTGGAATAAAATTATTCAACGAAGGTGCGGTTCTGTCTAAACTTCAGTAATTGACTTTAAGGCCCAATCCTAATTCTACCCCTTAGCCCTTCCCCTTACCCCTCGTTTTGCGCATTCACGTTAAGGGGTAGGGGTGTCCCAATTCTTTTTAGCTTGAAGGCGTAGGGCTAAGGGGAAGGGGTGAATAGCCCTTTGAACAAAGATTTTTCAGGACCACACTTGAAACCAAGGGGTAAGAAAATTTCCAAGAATACACCAGCCACAACGGCAGCATGGCTGAACCCGGAAGTAAGGAGATCCACAAATTAGTATTTATTTTGTCATTATTATGAAGTTTTACGACAAATAAACATATGTTTTAATATATTTATAAGTGCGTTCATGTTTTACCATCATGCTTTTTTTTTACAAAAAAGCACAATTTTGCAATCTCTAATTCCTAATCATAACCCCTGTATAGCAGTCCCACAACATTCTGACACTCGATGAAACACGAATACCCTGTCAGAAAAGTCTGGTAGCTGAGAATGAGCTTTTTACAGTGTCTGCTATAATGTTAGTGTTGTTTTCGTGTGTTTACATAGATGAATATGGCCACTGTGTAAAAACACAGTACAGTCACGATCTTATTGCCACATGATATCGTTATGATAACATAATATATGGCTTCAGTGATTTCCTGAAGATAAATACCAAGAAATAACACAACTGGAATAACTACAGCAGTCGCGATCGTCTGATCTCATATGAAGCAAGAGCTCACGATGACATATGATGACGTGTGCTGTCCCAAATCTTAGGTGTAAATTTTGAAGCCCTTCCACTTCACACTCTGTTTTAAGGGCCAAGGGGAAAGGGTTGGGGTAAAAAAATAGATTTGGGATTGGGCCTAAAGCCTGATTTATACTTCTGCATCAAGTGAGCGGCGTAACCCACGGTGCATGCAACGCGCGTGGCTGTGCATTTATACTTCTGCGCGCTGTCTCTGTCGGTCTGCATTAACACTTCCGAAACGCTAGTTGGCAGTGAGGTGTAAATGTTCCTCTGTGTCGAGTTCCTTCGCTGCTTTTTTGCTTTTCCTGAACACTTCCGGGATGTACAAGTGGCTCAAACTCGCTCATTTTGAGGCAGGAACCGGCGGACGTGCAACAACTTTAACTATGAGGTAAACACAAAACAAAACTTTCCATCAGGAGCTCCTTCACGGGACTCCACACTTGTAAACAATCGCTCGCGCTATTCGCGCGGCTCTCGGTCCCGCCCAGACTCGTCAGCGCTACCAAGCCGACCAATCACAGAGCTTACGCTACGTGTCGTTGCGACGTGTAGTTACAATTTTTGAGAGGTGCACGTCAGTGACGGCCACGGCCTTAAGACTGCAGTTCATCTCGGCCAACATTCAGCCAAGCCCTGCTCTTTACTTCATTGAAACTCCTGAACACTCTGGCTTATATTCCTTTAACTCCTTTAACTCTGGCTTTTATTTATGGATATTTCTATTTATTGATTTTTCTGTACAGTGGTGACTGATATACTTCAGACATAAATTCACTGTTAAAATGTATAGTTTAAGAGTAATACTTGTTATTAAAAACATTTATTTAAAAAAATCTTACGTTTAATGATTGTTTCTTTATAGTGTAAAATAAAATGGTGTTTTATTTCCTTATATAAAGTGCAACAACGCTGAAATCAATAAAGTTAAAGGCAGTATGTTTATGTTTCTTTTTTAGAGGACATTTATGGGGAGGAAAACAATATTTTTTTTAGCAGTTTCCACTAAAGGACATCTGAGACCTTAATATTTAAATTATGTTATATTTTATTTTGCCAGTTTTATGAAGTTAAACTTTAAAGATGTAACTTTCCTCCATAAAAATTAATTTTTTTTAGGCATTTACATGTTATCCATTCAGACAATATCAATTTATGGTCTTTGTTTTTTTAATGGATTTTTGTTTTTAATCTTTCCTCCTTTTTTTTGTTTGCCTTTTTGTTATAAACAAATTGAATAAGGTTTATACACTGATAAATTTAAGAGTTCATTATTTAAATAAAGCATTTATTTCTGCAACAACAAAAAATATATTTTAAATTTAAAATAAGTTATTTCCATTCTTCACTTTTTTCATTCTTTTTGTAAACCGATTCATTGAAATTTTTTTATTTAATACATCAAAATTACACATTTACGTTTAGTTAAAGTTTGGTAGTAAAAAATTGATATTGGTGACTTTGGAAATCTATAATTTATCCCCCAATATAATTCTGTCATCTCATTATTTGTAGTTTTTTTCTTTCACTCGAATATCCTATGGAAGCCTGTACTCGCCACTGAATAAAATAAATTAATACAAAAAAAATTATAAAGTCAGAATTGCAAGTTAAATCATTAAGTCAGAATTCAGAGTTATTAAGTCAAGTTATTAAGTTTGCAATTTTGACGTAATAACTCTGAATACTGCCGTTATAACTCGCAATTCTGACTTTATACCCCGGTTTCACAAACAAGGTTATAGGCTAGTCAAGATAAAATTGCATGTTTGAGCTGTCTCAACTCAAATAACTTGCGGAGAGGTGTCTTAAAATTTGTCAGTGTCATTTTTTTGTCTCCAGGTGCACACTAGTATTATTTTTCTATGGCCATTTTAATAAATGTGTCTTAAATAGCCTAATTTAACTAAGGCCTAGCTTAACTGGCTTAACCTAAGCCCTGTTTGTGAAACTGGGCCCATAACTCGCAATTCTGACTTAATAAATCGCAATTCTGACTTTATAACTTGCAAATCTGACTTAACTCTGGATTCTGACTTAATAACACGCAATTCTGACTTTATAACTCTGAACTCTGAATTTTGACTTAATAACTCTGAATTCTGACTTAATAACATGCAATTCTGACTTAATAAATCTGAATTTTGACTTAATAACTCTGATTTCTGGCTTAATAACATGCAATTCTGACTTAATAACATGCAATTCTGACTTAATAACATGCAATTCTGACTTTATAACTCGCAAATCTGACTTTACTCTGCATTCTGACTTAATAACTTTGAATTCTGACTTAATAACTCGCAATTCTGACTTAATAACTCTGAATTCTGATTTTGTAACTCCGAATTGTGACTTTATATCTTAGAATTCTGACATTATAACTCACAATTCTTACTTCATAACTCACATTTGACTTTATAACTGCCAATTCTGACTTTAACTCAGATTTCTGACTTTATAACTCAGAACTCCGACTTCCTTATTTTTTTTACATTGGTGGGAACGGGCTTCCATAAATGTCTTTATAGCGTGTAAGACTTTTATTTTGGTGTGGGTGTGTGCCGTCATACAATCGCGCCGTACTACCGCTTAGCGGTCCAACAAAACAAAAGGTTTGTGCATGAAACAAATATATATTCAAGTTATACTCGCTTCAACAATTAATGCTAAAACAATAACCTTCATTAAAATGCAATAGTTTATCTAACGTTAATCTTCGAAGCACACTCGAAAGGGGCGCGTCTCATTTGTCGGTCGTGAATCTGTTAGTAAACATTCAGTCACTGACGAGTGGAGATGAGGAAAACGGAGCTTTACAAACTTCGAGTCGTTTCCAATTTATACAATTGTTTGGTGCTGATGTACTTATGTGTAATTTGTATTCTCTATGTGTTTGTTTAATCTACTCGGGTGATTTAAGTCAGTCGTCTCTCCCTCAGTCTGACTCCCTCAGCAGTGCACTGAATAGTAAACCAGACAGCAGATTAAGTGTGTATCTCTTTTATTTCTGTACATTGTTCTCATTTTATACAGGACAAAGTGTCCAAACACAGAGGAAAAGTTCTGCTGAAGCGACTGATCTCCACACTGTTATAAAGATGCCGTTTATTAAAGAGGAGAGTGAAGACCTGAAGATTGAAGACACATTCACAGTCAAACATGAAGATCCTGAGGAACAAACAGGTTGGTTTTCATTCACAAAGATCAACATTTGATGAAATATCTGCTTTTACAGCAGGTCACATGGTGAATTAGAGAAATAAAAAAGGTGAAAATAGTTGCTGTTGTGAAAAACATTTGCCGTCTCTATTGAACGCTGATCAAATTCACCATATTCAGTGATTTGTGTCTGCATTAATGCAGTGTGATTTAGCCATGGGCCGGTATAAGATTCTGACGGTACGATAGCCTTGGATAAAAATATCACTGTTCGACGGTATCGTGATTACTGCTCTAAAATACATTCTTTTTAAACGTCTGGGTTTAATATCACGTCAAATTTAAGACATTTTTAACACCATTATCAATGAAATTTCAGACTATCAGAGGGCAAAACGCTAATAATTTTCTGTAATAATCAGTGAAATTGTTTTACTTGCCCAATTAAAATTAAAACTCAGTTATTTCTTTGCCACATATTTTAAATAACGTGTCAAAACAAGCAAACTCCAGTTATATACAGTACATATATTTTTTATCAGCACAACCTTTCTTTAAAAAGGTTTTAAAAGCTATAACCAACAAAATTCATGCAAAACAATGCAGAAGTAATTTTTTCTCATGTTCATTGAAATATTTTCATAATTCTGAGGTCTAAATTAAGGTTACTACTTATTTTGAGGGTAACTTCACCTTTAACTTCTAGATTATTTTAAAATGCTATATAAAAAACAATGTTTTTGCTGTCATTTATTTAATCGACACTCACAATAAGATTTATCATAAGGTCTCCTGAAAATCAAAGCAAAACAGTATTTCTCATGAGCGCAATGCAGCATAAACAATATTAAAGACAATCAGAATGTCTCAAAGCTGTAATAAACAACTTTTACGCACAACATAAATGTATGCCTGAAAACACGGAGAACTTTTAAACAAATGTTATTGTGAGCATGTAAGGAAGACAATGAAAACTTATTGCTAAATCGTTAATAAAATGTCAATGTTGTTAAACGATTTTTTTTTAGATGGATTTGTTGGTTTACATATTGACTATAGCTTTACATGAACAATTAGTGAAAATTATGACCTTTAAAATTATTTAAGACCCACAACAGCATATTTATGTGAATTTTTTATTTTTATTTTTTTTTCTTCTTCATGGTAAGGCCTTCGATTTAGTTTGTGAAATTTAAGACCCTGCGGACACCCTGAAAAAAAAACGAAAAGGTTATTCCCCACATTATATTTATTTATAGAAACTGCTGTCTTCATTAAGCCTGATTTATACTTCTGTGTCAGGTGACCGGCGTAACCCACTGCACATGCAACGCGCGTGGCTGTGCATTTATACCTCTGCGCTGTCTCTGTTGGTCTGCATTAACACTTCCAAAACGCTAGTTGGCAGTGAGGTGTAAATGTTCCTCTGTGTCGAGTATCTTCGCTGCTGTTTTGCTTTTCCTGAACACTTCTGGCATGTACAAGTGGCTCAAACTCGCTCATTTTGAGGCAGGAACCGGCGGACGTGCAACAACTTTAACTATGAGGTGAACACAAAACAAAACTTTCCATCCGGAGCTCCTTCACGGGACTCCACACTTGTAAACAATCGCTCGCGCCATTCGCACGGCTCTCGGTCCCGCCCACTCGTCAGCGCTACCAAGCCGACCAATCACAGAGCTTGCGCTACGCGTCGTTGCGACGTGTAGTTACATTTTTTGAGAGGTGCACGTCAGTGACGGCCACGGCGAAGGGCTATGCGTCAGCACTGTAGCATTCGCCGGCGTTTGACGCAGAAGTATAAATCAGCCTTAAGTCCTAAAAACACAGATTTCTGAATTTATAATAGCATCTTGGATATTTTTTGCTTTAGGCGATACTGTTTTCCTAAAAAACTGGGGGAAAAAATGTAAATAAAAAATCTTAGCCATAACTCAATTACAGTAAAGCAGAAAATGATTAAAACCTCGAATTTTCCAATATACCTTGAAAACGGTTATCGTCACATGCCTAGTGTGATGCAACACAACGAGTGAAAGGGTTTCCACAAAATGAATCAACCATATAACTCTTTTCACAAGCCTGTTATGACGCTGTTAATAATCTTAAATCCTTAAGTTTTTAATATTTAGCTTTTTAAAAAAACGTATGAATATTTATATGCGTTTATGAATGCATTATCCCATCTTTGCGTCAAATTACAAAAACAATTAATTACCGCTTATGTGTGGTGTTTCTAATGCAGCGTCCATGGGGCTGAGAGTCAAATTGATATAATCTGTCTTCTGGCTGCGGTAAGCAGTCTCGAACAATTTTTTTTCCTTTTTCTGAAAGTCTCGATAACACCATCATGGAGTTTTTCATTTATTATTTCAGCAAATAGGATTGTAAAATATTATTACCGCACGTTCACACCGAAAGCGGCGAGAGCGTCCAAGGTCGCTCTGGCCGCCCTGTTGACAACGCTGTCTGCCTTCAACTCTGGCGGGGAGAGCGTCAAAACTCGCTACATTGATCTCGTTTTTAAAGGAGCCGTTGCAGCATATCAGTTACATTTCTGCATAAAACATGTTTCTAGCGTGAAAATGTTGCGCACTTCTTATCAAATTCATATAACAATGGAAGATCAAGTTGCTATGGTGTGGCTTTGCTTTATTCATCCAATATGTGTCCATATGTCTGAAATATCCTGAAGCAGCTATACTGTTTTGTACTGTTACATCGCGTGAGATTCCCGCTTTTTTAAGATAAATATATATAACATTAATGAACATCAGTAACTTATTTAATGTATGTTCCTGTAGGAAAACATTGTAAATAATTGGAAATCCGGCGACCGCAATAATCAAACCCTTGAGAACAACTGTCGTCGGAACCAAAGTTCACAGGTCTGTGTTCTCTGAACTGCTATCAAGCGGTGGACGTCTTCATTCTGATTGCTTGCCGCCGAACCGCGTCATAGCTCATTACCATAAAGTTGACTTTATTTCAACTCTCCTCGACGCTCACGCCAGCGAAGACGCGCCGCGCTGCCTATCGCCGCCGGCTCTCATTGAAAATGAATGACTTCCAGCTACTTTGACGCTCTCGCCGCTTTCGGTGTGAACGTACGGTTAGTTGTACTCTCCCATTCACTGCGCACTGAGTTTACCCAGCTACGACGTCTTCTGCTACTGAGAAACACGAAAATGTGAATATTTCAGTGTAACACAACAGCGGTGTGTGTATTACAATTAAATAAATTTTTTTTCCCCATGTACAACATGTTAATGGGGTATATGCACACAGACTTCTAATTTCAGCCAGCCAGGCTCAGCGCTTTCCATTATAAAATGGTCATGTTTAAGATCTGTTTTTTTCTTCACTGCCTGATAGATATACTATACAAAGTGGGTCTCAGACCGGACAAGAAGCTCTGCATTAAATTCCATTGTGAAGAACTATAAATGCACGGCAACACGCAAGGCTTGCTCCGTGGGTCACGCAGATCACTTGACGCAGAAGTATAAACCAGGCTTTAAGCCCCGTTTACACTGTCAGGTCTTGAAGCCCAATTCCGATTTGTTGCCTATATCTGATTTGTTTGCCTGTCTATTTACACCTTGTTTTAATTGTGACCCATATCTGATTCATGCGTTTACACTTGCCATACAATTTATGGCGTCGCGCATGTATAAATGCGGGTTATAGCATCCACACTCTAGCCGCAATGGAGGAAACTGTCTTGCTTTCAGCTCTGCGAAATATGCGAAGATCGCCCAACTTTAAAATGATTTTGAGGCAGAGTAGAAGGGAAAGAGTCGTCATCGCAGCTTGTGCTCGTGGTTTATATATGATGACCTCGAGAGATTACGAAATTATGGCGACTGACCGCTTTCCTCCTCCGTGTTTTCTCTTGTTGTTTACCGCGTCGGCGTCTCCACACACTCTTCAGCCTGGTTTATACTTCTGCGTCAAGTGAGCGGCGTAACCCACGGCGCATGCAACGCCCGTAGCTGTGCATTTATACTTCTGCGCGCTGTCTCTGTTGGTCTGCATTAACACTTCCGAAACGCTAGTTGGCAGTGAGGTGTAAATGTTCGTCTGTGTCGAGTTTCTTCGCTGCTATTTTGTTTTTCCTGAACACTTCCGGGATGTACAAGTGGCTCAAACTCGCTCATTTTAAGGCAGGAACCGGCGGACGTGCAACAACTTTAACTATGAGGTAAACACAAAACAAAACTTTCCATCCAGAGCTCCTTCACGGGACTCCACAATTGTAAACAATCGCTACATTGGGTTCGTGCCATTCACGCGGCTCTTGGTCCCGCCCCGACTCGTCAGCGCTACCAAGCCGACCAATCACAGAGCTTGTGCTACGCGTTGTTGCGACGTGTAGTTACATTTTTTGAGAGGTGCACTTCAGTGACGGCCACGGCCACAGCGAAGGGCTATGCGTCAGCGCCGTATCATATGCTGGTGTTTGACGCAGAAGTATAAATCAGCCTTTCCTCATATGCCATTAAACTGCAGAGAAGCACCACATTGTCGCAAGTTTATTGACGTACGAAATGGAATTCCCTGAATAAATCTGATCTGCCTGTTTACATCAGTCACATATCCGATTTATTTCGTCATATGAAGAAGGCTCAATCTCTGAATATCCAAATGCTTGCGTTTTTTTTTTTTGTGTGTGTTTACACGGTCATAGAACAGATCCGATCGGTGTCACGTATGAGCAAAACATCGGAATTGGGTCACATTTAACTGGCAGTGTAAACAGCTTCTTAGTGCTTCTGATGCAGTGTTCACACAAGACGCGGATGCAAATAAATTGCGCTATTCGTGCGCAAATATACGTGTGCATATTTTGAGTTTCACTGCGCGTAAAATTTACTTCACAATAGATGCGGATTCACATCATGGGCAGGGCTTCTGTCTGCCCAGTGACAATAGCCTCCATGCTAACATGGATTTTATTAAGAGAGTAGCTGTGTTTATGTGCTTTATGAAGGCTGATAAACAGCGCTGATTCGTTTGGAGCCATGCCTGAGTCCACTAGATCCATTCAGAGGTGCTCCCAGCCCTGAGTTCATCAACTCCTCCAGAAACTGTACCTGGATGATGGAGTCTTTCTTAGACCATGCTCAGTTGCAATGACTTCCAAAATATGATGACCCTAAAACTACTCGTGAACTGGAGCTGAACTTACAGTTGACAGCTCAAGGTACAGTGAACAAGATATATTGTTGAGCATTGTTTTTGCTGAATCGCCACATTTAAAGTAGGAAGGAAAGACCTTAAAGCAGGGGTGTCCACACTCGGTCCTGGAAGGCCAGTGTCCTGGAGAGATTAGCTCCAACCCTAATCAAACACACCTGATCAAGCTAATCAAGCTCTTACTAGGTGTACTTGACACTTCCAGGCAGGTGTGTTGAAGCTGGAGCTGAAGTCAGCAGGACACTGGCCCTCCAGGACTGACTTTGGACACCCCTGCCTTAAATGGTCAAAAGCCCGAGTGTCTATTGGGGGTAAAGAAATTACTCAGCTGGCCATGGTTAGGGAGCATCTGGGAGATTTAAGAACCTATTAGTGGAGAAGCTAATGGAGGTGTGCTAATATGTCAATTTGGGTGGAGTGTATTTAAATCAGGGGTGTCCAAACTCGGTCTTGGAGGGCCGGTGTCCTGCATTTAGTTTCAACCCCAATTAAACACACCTGAACCAGCTAATCAAGCTCTTTCTGGGTACACTAGAAACTTCCAGGGAGGTGTGTTGAAGTAAGTCGGAGATAAACTATGCAAGACACCGGCCCTCCAGGACAGAGTTTGGACAGCCCTGATTTAAACTGTGTGCCTGTCTATACTCATCAGACACTCGAACGACCTGTCTCCGTTGTTACTGATGCTGTAACAATAAACTGCTTTGCCTAAAGACTTCGGAAATCTCTGACTTTACTTTTAAATATTTTGACTTAGAAACTAAGAAAATAGTGTGCACACCAGAATCTTTTTTTTCCACAACATCGGCTAGAGACTTTGCCCTTTGGACACCCAGCAACAGGCACTATGTCATAATCACGCCCCTACAAGAGAAAGCTTCCGATTGGTTGAGCATGTCGCGAATGTCAGCTGAAGTTCAGATTTTCCAACTCGAGTGATACGTGTCAATTGCGCAAAACTTACGTTGCTGTTGGTTTCGATATCTTAATTTCTTTAATATTTTTTACTTTTACACCTGTTGCTACTTTGTGCTCTTAAACTGGCGTTTTATTTTTCTCTTTAGAGCCGATGGTGATGAAAAAAGAGGCTCAAGAACTGAATGAAATTGACAAGAAAGATCAGAATGAGGAACTCCAAGGCTTAGTGACTGATGAACAACCTTCTAAGAAGAAAAGAAGCTCCCGTAAAAGAGATGAGAAAAATAGATCCGATGCCGATTGCACCTGCTGCCAATGCGGCAAAAGTTTCAGACTAAAGCGCCACCTTCAAGCCCACGTGAAAATTCACACCTGCGAGAAACCGTTCATGTGTGATCAGTGTGGAAAGAGTTTCACTCACCTGCACAGCCTTAAAGCCCACATGAGACTTCACACTGGAGAGAAGCCTTTCGCCTGCCAACAGTGCGACATGAGATTCGTTCAAAAGCAGAAACTCGAGACGCACATGAGAGTTCACAACAGCGTCCAGCCATTCGTTTGCCAGCAATGTGGAAGAAGCTTTACTATAAATAATAAACTTAAAAAGCACATGAAAATCCACACCGGAGAGAAACCGTTCCCCTGCCAGCAGTGTGGGAAGAGCTTCGCTGAAAAAGAGCTCCTCAAGGTCCACATGAGAATTCACACCGGAGAGAGACCTTACACTTGCACTCACTGCGGAAAGAGTTTCACGCAGAAGAGCAACCTCAATTTACACACACGATCTCACACCGGAGAGAAGCCCTACCCTTGCACGCACTGTGGCAAAAGCTTCACGTGTAAAAACTATCTTGATTGCCACATGAGAACGCACACTGGAGAGAAGCCGTTTATATGTGGTCATTGTGGAAAGTGTTACGCTCACAGAGATAGCTACAAAACTCACTTGAAGCTCCACTCTGGAGAACAGGGGTAATTATGACTTAAAAACGGTCCAATGTATGATTAAATCCCATCGTTTCAGCAGTTTTATTCTGTAGTTTTTTTTAAAAGGGGTTTGGCAAAGGGGTGTATCCAGTTGTGTGGAGGTAGGAAGGAAAGGCTACACCTATCTGCATACCACCAATGCCAATAGACTCAAAGCTGCTTTCGGTGCTCCATCTCAGTCCCTGAACATCCTTATGGTGCAGGTCCACTGCAAATGAACAGACTTACAAACCTAAAGGCCCCAACTTTCCATCTTTGTTCTTCATTTGTGGGCAAAAGGAAGTGTGAAGAGGCAGAGTGATGATGGTATACAGCATAGATCTCGAACTCGATTCCTGGAGGGCCGCAGCTCTGCACAGTTTTGCTCCAACCCTGATCAAACACAGCTGATCAAACTAATCAAGGTGTTTGAGACTACTAGGGACCATTAAGCAGGTGTGAGTTGGAGGTGGTTGGAGCCAAACTATGCAGCGCTGCGGCCCTCCAGGAGTTAAGTTTGAGACCATTGGTATACAGTTGTCGAACACTTTGAAATCCCCATGCTGCAGTAGGGAGGGCTGTAAACGTGTCATGCGTCTTGCATGTACTCCTAAACACAAAAAAAAAGAAACATCTGGCAAACACCCATCTTCACGAGAAGCACCATCCCAAGTCTCGCGGAAGTTCCGCAAACGCATATAGACTCCCGGATGCTCTCAAACGAAAGATAATCTCACGGAAATCGCACGACTTCTGCCCATTTCTTAAATACGTTGCACGTCCCTCTCCATTGCATCCCTTCCAGCTCTTCAGGTACGTCACGCACACCCACCCCACGTTGTGTGCATCTCCCACCAAACCTTCTGCAAATCCTCTCTGTCTCCCTCGGAAGTTACTTTTCTCAACTTGGGATGTCTGGCATTATATCATTGTTAACAAATGCTTTGCCTAAAATCGCATACTTCCATAGTGTATATGATACGCTAAAAACAGTATGTGAGCCGAGTAGTATGTCCAAATTCACAGAATTCGAAAAACAGTGTGCGAAAATTACCCGGATGACCTACTATTTCCAGCGAGATTCTGATGGACGCTACACTATCCCATGATGTATCGCGAGAGAATTCATAAATGGGAGTGAATCGACACAACTGACGCTGCAGGTCATGTGATGTAGTACGTCCCAATTCTATTCATACTATACAGAACACACTTTTCTAACAGTCGAGGAGTAAATCCAAATGTAGTAGGCAATTTCGGACGCAGCAAAAGCCTCCTTTTTGAATGTTTACACTGAAATTATAATGGCAACACTGTCAAAAATATAAGATGTATGTGTTTTCAGTTAAAAAACGACATTGTCATGTAAACGAACAGGAAAATTGCTTAAAAATTTACATTTTTGGCTAAAGTCAAGTAAACAGCATGTACCTAAACTACATCAACTAGAACACGCTTTCATTTCTGTGACATGATCATCTCAATGACGCTTAAGAGGACATAATGCGCATCCTAGTTAGTAATTCTAGCAAACACAAATTTAAAGTAAACCCTGTTAGTTTCCAACTAATTTCAATAAAAAGGCGCTAAGCTCTGTCCCAAAAGTTGCTAAATGTTGCTAGAGTACATCCAAGGCTTAATTTGTGCCGGAACACGCCGGATCCAGATCCGGCATTTCATTTTACCGATTCCCCTACTCACCTACCCTCCTACCTCGTTCACTGTTCATTTTCGCTTTGTTCCGCTAATGCTCTTCACTTTCGTTTCTGCGATAACCAACCCCCGGCTCTTAACTTACGTCCGCGACACCCCTCCGCTATCTGACAACATGCTATCAATCCCCAACCCAACCTGCATGCTCTTCGCTTTCGTCTGCAACACCTCTACATCCTCGAGTAGTTTGCCGGATCCGTTACCCCAATCTGTTCCGGTAATTCGCGATTCACAAATTAAGCACTGATTACATCATATGTCAATTGGCATATTACTGATGTCATCACCTTCAACAATTTTTGTATGTTACATTTTTTGCTGTTTGAATAAAGTATATCAGTTTACATGTGTAACGTTAGTAAATTTGTTAGATTTGTTAGTGTTTTTTTTTTTTTGTCGCTAAGAGGATCTGAAATGTCGCTAAATATAGTCACAAAGTATGGAATGATGTCTTAGTACTATTTTTACAACCAAATATAACATTATTTTCAGTTGCTTACAGAAAATCTGCAATTTACAAGCAAATGTTTCATTTATAGCATGGCTAACTTGACTTTGCAGCCTGTTTATAAAATTAAATTGAATAACTCTGTTTGTTTGAGACAGATGCAGAGCAGGAACATCAAACTCAAGATATTTTTTTTTTGACACGGGAAAAAGAAGCTGCGTTTTTGCTGTACAAGTCAAGTATGTGAGTATATTATGTTGAAATGCTGTGATTTTACTAAGTCATACTCCATATGGTAACCCAAAGGTGTTTAGGTCCTAAACAAACTCCCCCAAAAATGTTACTTTGGTGAGCGGTGTCGAACAAAAAAACGAATTCTGCAAAATAACTTTGTTTTGGCCAGATTGTGTTCGTGATTATGTAATTTCTATAATTTTTCTGATTTCGCTTGAAGTATTCCCCTTATTCTCCGCCGACGAGTGGGCGCTGCCATTTGAATCTTTTTGGCTTGAGACTTCCGGTCTCATTCACTTCCATTCATTTTTTGACGTTAAAAACTGCTCGTTACGCTGCTTGTTGCAATTTGATATTTTCTTATTATATTATTCTACTTGGTCTCTATAGTCATGCAAACGTTTGTTTGTAGAGCAAGTAGTTTGACCGTTTTCTGCCGTTTATTATTCCTAGTCATTTCTCCCAAAGGCGACTAAATCGGGAGTTCTAAGACAATCTCGAAAACAGGCGCACTTCCGCATTTTAGAATAAGGTCAATACTGGGGAAGTAAGGCTCTTTCGGCTTAGACTCCACATCGGTCTGTCTGATCTGGGATCAACCATTAATGTAATAACGTTTTAGACGACACAGAACGTGTATCATTCATTTTCTTGTCGGCTCAGTCCCTTTATTAATCTGGGGTCGCCACAGTGGAATGAACCGCCAACTTATCCAGCAAGTTTTTACGCAGCGGATGCCCTTCCAGCCGTAACCCATCTCTGGGAAACATCCACACATACACACACACACACACTACGGACAATTTAGCCTACCCAATTCACCTGTACCGCATGTGTTTGGACTGTGGGGGAAACCGGAGTACCCGGAGGAAACCCATGCGAACGCAGGGAGAACATGCAAACTCCACACAGAAACGCCAACTGAGCCGAGGATCGAACCAGTGACCCAGCGACCTTCTTGCTGTGAGGTGAACATGCTACCCACTGCGTCGCCCCAGAACGTGTATCCTACATCGCAATACTTTCAAACAAAAAGTGGTGTTTTAGTAATATTTGTACAATTATTTGTATAGTTGCTTCTAGAAAATCTGCAATTTACAAGCAAATGTTTAATTTTTATTGTTATTGTTAACTTGACATTGCAGCCTGTTTATTAAATCAAATGTAATCACTGTTTGTCTGAGCAGGATCATGAAACTGAAGATAAATTCACACGGCTAAAAGAAATTGCAGTTTTGCTAAACGATAAATCAAATTGCGTCGTATGTAATTTTTTTACGTAAAAATGCTGCGATTTTACTTAATAATACTCCGAATAGTATGCAGTAATTGTCCCCAACTCTGCAGCACTTTGATGGTATCTCAAAAGTGTTCAGGACCAAAACGAACTCCCCCAAAAAGTTCCCTTTGGTAAGCTGTGTCGAACTGCCAGAACGAATTCCTCAAAAATAACTTGGTTTCGGACAGATTTAGTTCGATATAATGTAATTTCGCGTATTTTTCTGATTTTGTTTGAAGTGTACCGGGAAATTAGGGCTCTTTAGGCTCAAACTGCATCGGTCAGTGTGATCTGGGATTGGGTACTTTGTGAATCAAATGTGCTTCCGTAAAATACATTGATGTGGTTGCGTTTATTCCAATCTCTGAACATCAAACCAGTAATTACAAACTCAACATTAGCAAATTCTTCACTTAAGGTCAACATAAGTCATCTTACGTCAAGTCCTTGTTGATGATTATGGCAACCTCATGTCCAAAGTAAAGTTACTTAGCATGTAAAAGAACAACTAAATCAAAATCTTACCCATCACCTATACATTAAGGGTAATTCGTTATATATTTGATTCTATATGGATGTTATTCTGCGTGAACATCTCCAATAGTGATGGGAAGTTCGGATCATTTTACTGACTCGAATCTTTGAGTCTCGTTCATTAAGATGAACGAATCTTTTGAGTCATTTCGTTCATTTGGTTCAATTTGCCAAAATATTATTAAAATGTTACGAATTGCTTCCAAACACATCTACAACTAGCCAAAAAGGTTGATCACATGACAAATAAGTCATAAGTAGAATATATGAAGGAGAAAATAATACTTCAATGTTTACCTGCTCTTTTGTCTATGAAGGAATTTTTGTGTCTTTCCTCAGCTCACCTCTTCATGTCTTCAATTGTCAGGGGTTCATTCACGTTACACTGACAGTCACATATAATCTTAATCAATGCACAGTCTGAGCCGATAGGAGCCATGATCGTTCGTTTATCACGTGACAGAATGACTCGAGGTATGATAGAGGACTTGAGAGGTGAGCGGATCAAAACTTTTTCCGGCACTAAACGCGTATGATTGGCTTCTGCCAATGTGATGAAGACTTGAAATTAACGATACTCGTAGTTCCCGAGTCATATTGAAGATTCGTTCAAAATGAACAAATCGTTCATGAACGACCCATCACTAATCTCCAATGGTGGCCTCAGCCTCAAAGTCTGAGGTAAAATGCAATCATTTATTTTCCACTATCAAATTAATGCTCCACTTTAAAAAATAACATTAGCTTGCTTAATTTAAACGCAAGGTAAATGCTTCTGCAAAGCAAATAATAAGAAATATGCCCCGTATAAAGACAACTATCGTTTTTTTGTGCTGACTTGCAGCAATCATTAAAGTCCATTCAAACATAGACACGTGTTCCCTCATGTTTGAGCCAAGTAAACTTTATATAAGATAGGTATTGTCAGTTTTGCGCTACCTCCTTTCTTTTAATGACACAATATTAATCAACTGGATTAAATTTAAACGGTGTGTATCCACAAATGTAGGCTGTGTTTGTAAGTTCTGCTTGACAATGATAGAAGACAACGACAAAGACAGAAGGTTTTTAAGACTCTTGTTCTCCAGTAAAACTAGGTGCATGATGACAGCAGTGACGTGATATCCTGGCGCATCGCTACCTGGAAAAATTTGACTGTGATTTCGGTGTTTTCGTTAAAAAATTTGTCGTTTTCAATTCTATTCGTTATCCACTCTAAAACAACTGAAAATTC